GAGATCTTGTCACGACATGGATGCCGTCTTTTCTCCCACCTTGTCTCCCACTTTGTCTCCCACTCTGTCTCCTAGTGCTCTGTGAGATCTTGTCACGACATGGATGCTGTCTTGTCTCCTACCTTGTCTCCCACCTTGTCTCCCAGTTTGTCTCCCACTCTGTCTCCCAGTGCTCTGTGAGATCTTGTCACGACATGGATGCCGTCTTGTCTCCTACCTTGTCTCCCACCTTGTCTCCCAGTTTGTCTCCTAGTGCTCTGTGAGATCTTGTCATGACATGGATGCCGTCTTGTCTCCCAGCTTGTCTCCCACTCCCACTCTGTCTCCCAGTGCTCTGTGAGATCTTGTCACGACATGGATGCCGTCTTGTCTCCCACCTTGTCTTCCACCTTGTCCCCCACTTGTCTCCCACTCTGTCTCCTAGTGCTCTGTGAGATCTTGTCACGACATGGATGCCGTCTTGTCTCCCACCTTGTCTCCCGCCTTGTCTCCCACTTTGTCTCCCACTCTGTCTCCTAGTGCTCTGTGAGATCTTGTCACGACATGGATGCCGTCTTGTCTCCTACCTTGTCTCCCACTCTGTCTCCCAGTGCTCTGTGAGATCTTGTCACGACATGGATGCCGTCTTGTCTCCTACCTTGTCTCCCACCTTGTCTCCGACTTTGTTTCCCAAACAGCTAGTCTGTTGGGGTTCTATTGGGCTTTCAAGAATTGGATCCTGTCACGAGATGATTTTGCCGTGGCCGACTTTGTCCCCCACTTTGTCTCCCACTTTTTCTCCCGCTGTGTCTCCCACTGCTCTGTCAGATCTTGTCACAACATGGACCTGGCTTTGTCTCCCACTTTGTCTCCCACTGTGTCTCCCACTGCTCTATGAGACCTTGTCACAGCATGGATCTGGTCCCACTTTGTCCCCCACATTGTCTCCCACTTTGTCTCCCACTGTGTCTTCCACTGTGTCTCCCGCTTCTCTGTGAGATCTTGTCACGACATGGATCTGGCTTTGTCTCCCACTTTGTCTTCCACTGTGTCTCCCACTGCTCTGTGAGATCTTGTCACGGCATGGATCTGGCTTTGTCTCCCACTTTGTTTCCCATTTTGTTTCCCACTTTGTCTCCCATTGTTTTCCCCACCGTGTCTCCCACTGTGCCTCCGCTGTGTCTCCCACTGCTGTGTGAGATCTTGTCACGACATGGACCTGGCTTTGTCTCCCACTTTGTTTCCCACTTTGTCCCCCACTTTGTCCCCCACTTTGTCTCCCACTGTGTCTCCCACTGCTCTGTGAGATCTTGTCGCGACATGGATCTGGCTTTGTCTCCCACTGTGTCTCCCACTGTGTCTCCCACTGTGTCTTCCACTGTGTCTGTCACTGTTCTGTGAGATCTTGACACGGCATGGATCTGGCTTTGTCTCCCACTTTGTCTCCCACTTTTTCTCCCACTGCTCCATGAGATCTTGTCACAACATGGATCTGGCTTTGTGTCCCACTTTGTCTCCCACTGCTCTGTGAGATCTTGTCACGACATGGATCTGGCTTTGTCCCCCACTTTGTCTCCCACTGTGTCTCCCACTGTGTCTCCCACTGCTCTGTGAGATCTTCTCACGACGTGTATCTGGCTTTGTCTCCCACTTTGTCTTCCACGTAGTCGCCCACTTTGTCTCCCACCGTGTCTCGCAGTGTCTCTTCCACTGCGTCTCCCACTGCTCTGTGAGATCTTGTCACGACATGGATCGGGCTTTGTCTCCCACTTTGTCTCCCACTTTCTCTCCCACTGTGCCTCCCACAGCTCTGTGAGATCTTGTCACGACATGGATCTGGCTTTGTCTCCCACTGTGTCTCCCACTGTGTCTTCCACTGTGTCTGTCACTGTTCTGTGAGATCTTGTCACAGCATGGTTCTGGCTTTGTCTCCCGGTTTGTTTTCCGCTTTGTTTCCCACTTTGTCTCCCACTGTGTCTCCCACTGCCCTGTGAGATCTTGTCACGACATGGATCTGGCGTTGTCTCCCGCTTTGTTTTCCGCTTTGTTTCGTTTTTGTCTCCCACTTTGTCTTGCACTGTGTGTCCACTGTGTCTCCCACTGCTCTGTGAGATCTTGTCACGACATGGATCTGGCTTTGTCTCCCACTTTGTCTCCCACTGTGTCTCCCACTGCTCTGTGAGATCTTGTCACGACATGGATCTGGCTTTGTCTCCCGCTTTGTCTCCCACTTTGTCTCCCACTTTGTCTCTTACTGTGTCTCCCACTGTGTCTCCCACTGCTCTGTGAGATCTTGTCACAACATGGACCTGGCTTTGTCTCCCACTGTGTCTTCCACTGTGTCTGTCACTGTTCTGTGAGATCTTGTCACGGCATGGATCTGGCTTTGTCTCCCTCTTTTTCTCCCACTTTATCTCCCACTTTGTCCTCCACTTTGTCTCCCACTGTGTCTCCCACTGCTCTGTCAGATCTTGTCACAACATGGACCTGGCTTTGTCTCCCACTGTGTCTTCCACTGTGTCTGTCACTGTTCTGTGAGATCTTGTCACGGCATGGATCTGGCTTTGTCTCCCACTTTGTCTCCCACTTTTTCTTCCACTGCTCCATGAGATCTTGTCACAACATGGATCTGGCTTTGTGTCCCACTTTGTCTCCCACTGCTCTGTGAGATCTTGTCACGACATGGATCTGGCTTTGTCCCCCAATTTGTCTCCCACTTTGTCTCCCAGTGTCTCTCCCACTGTGTCTCCCACTGCTTTGTGAGAGCTTGTCACAAGATGGATTTGGCTTTGTCTCCCACTTTGTCTCCCACTGTCTCTCCCACTGCTCTGTGAGATGTTGTCACGACATGGATCTGGCTTTGTCCCCCACTTTGTCTCCCACTGTGTCTCCCACTGCTCTGTGAGATCTTGTCACGACATGGATCTGGCTTTGTCTCCCACTTTGTCTCCCACTGTGTCTCTCACTGCTCTGTGGGATCTTGTCACGACATGGATCTGGCTTTGTCCCCCACTTTGTCTCCCACTTTTTCTCCCACTGTCTCCCACTGTGTCTTCCACTGTGTCTGTCACTGTTCTGTGACATCTTGTCACGGCATGGATGTGGCTTTGTCTCCCACTGTGTCTCGCACTGTCTCTGCCACTGTGCCTCCCACTGCTCTGTGAGATCTTGTCACGACATGGATCTGGCTTTGTCTCCCACTGTGTCTCCCACTGTGTCTTCCACTGTGTCTGTCACTGTTCTGTGAGATCTTGTCACAGCATGGTTCTGGCTTTGTCTCCCGGTTTGTTTTCCGCTTTGTTTCCCACTTTGTTTCCCACTGTGTCTCCCACTGCTCTGTGAGATTTTGTCACGACATGGATCTGGCTTTGTCTTGCACTGTGTCTCCCACTGTGTCTTCCACTGTGTCTGTCACTGTTCTGTGAGATCTTGTCACAGCATGGTTCTGGCTTTGTCTCCCGGTTTGTTTTCCGCTTTGTTTCCCACTTTGTCTCCCACTGTGTCTCCCACTGCCCTGTGAGATCTTGTCACGACATGGATCTGGCTTTGTCTCCCGCTTTGTTTTCCGCTTTGTTTCGTTTTTGTCTCCCACTTTGTCTTGCACTGCGTGTCCACTGTGTCTCCCACTGCTCTGTGAGATCTTGTCACGACATGGATCTGGCTTTGTCTCCCACTTTGTCTCCCACTGTGTCTCCCACTGCTCTGTGAGATCTTGTCACGACATGGATCTGGCTTTGTCTCCCGCTTTGTCTCCCACTTTGTCTCCCACTTTGTCTCTTACTGTGTCTCCCACTGTGTCTCTCACTCCTCTGTGAGATCTTGTCACGGCATGGATCTGGCTTTGTCTCCCACTTTTCCCCCCACTGTGTCTCCCACTGCTCTGTGAGATCTTGTCACGACATGGATCTGGCTTTGTCTCCAGCTTTATTTCCCACTTTGTCTTCAATTTTGTCTCCAGCTTTGTGTCTCGCTGTGTCTCCCATGTGAGATCTTGTCACGGCATGGATCTGGCTTTGTCTCCCACTTTGTCTTCCACTTAGTCTCCCACTTTGTCTCCCACTGTGTGTCCCACTGTGTCTCCCACTGTGTTTCCCACTGCTCTGTCACTGTGAGATCTTGTCACGACATGGATTTGGCTTTGTCTCCGAGGGTGTCTCCCACTGCTCTGTGAGATCTTGTCACGACATGGATCTGGCCTTGTCTCCCACTTTGTTTTCTGCTTTGAGATATAAAACCAAGGTAATCTACGTATAAGAGATTGCAATAGCCTATGACCACAACAGCTGCTAATTATCTTTCAAATCTCGAGACATAACAGCGCAATAGTCTATCCCTATTATAGCGCAGTCATGCGCAGACATGAAACCAAGCTATTCTTTGCTAATAAGAATGGAATAATCTATGGCCACAATATTGCGATAATATATCGGCGCACCAGCACGGTAGTTTATGAACATAACATTACATGTGCAACTATCCACAGCAAAATGATATTTGATTGGAAACATCGGGGGGGGCAAGGCGGCGCAAAAAAAAAAGACACACACACACACAACCTAAGACCTATGGACATGACGCTGCACAAACCCATACACGGGAACCAAAGAAACCTATGCGCATGACACAGAGCTGACATGTGATTTTTTTTGAAACTTGTGCTGTTTGGGGTCGATGTTGGTGTAATTCTTTATGAATGCCAGGAAACTTAGTAAAAGTATGAAGGGGTGAATGGGAACGACCCATGAAACCAAATTGGAATTTGGATGACCAATGACCCATGATCTAGATCCTGAGGCCCCAATTTGATCGCAAAAGTTTTTTAGCCAGGTAAAATCATGGCAGCTGACAATTCTGCACATGTTGCCGCAATTCTCCCGGGATTTCCCCCAAGTTTTTTTTGGCTTAATCCCTTATTGTCTTCCTTCTTAATGCCGGGATTTCTCGAGTGCTGCGGCAGCCCTGGATGACGAGGCTGCGAGGAGCTGTTCATCAATCAAGGTGAAGTCTGCCTTATCTGGCAATGATCACGGAGAAGGAAGAACAATGAAGAACAACCACAATCCCGATATGGTATATTGTGGCGTTACACATTCAACCACCATGTTGGAAACCTTACGTCCGAAAGTCAAACCTGACTATGCTCTCCGGCAGCTGTTCAGGTCCCAAGCTCATCCTAAACACCTCAGCACCAAGCCATCCGCCATGTCCACAGGCGCCCCCTGTGTTGTGATGGTGGACCCGTACTCCACGGGTGCATTGCTGGCCCAGGAGCTGGATCAGCGAAGCACCCAGACTGAAGGTATTACTGTTGATGGACAGTCTCCACCATTTGCAAGACCTTATCATTACCAAATCTCTGTCGTAGAAATCAATCATCAAAGGAAGTTCAGGAAGAAACTTCCGAGCTACGAACGGTTCGATTGCCTCAATAATGATACCTCAATCATTACATCACTCCAACAATACAACACCTCAATCATTACATCACTCCAACAATACAACACCTCAATCAATACATCACTAAATCATTGCATTACAATCAATACATAACGTCAATCATTACATGACTTCAATCATCACATCACTCCAGCATTACAACACCTCAATCAATACATCATTAAATCCGTACATGACCTCAATCAATACATCACCTGAATCAATATATATCACCTCACTCGTGAGGCAGGTTTGCAGATAGCCGTCGAAAGCTGTTGGAGCTAGCTCGGGGAAGCAGGAGTGGCACCACGAAATGCTGTGCTTTACGGCACCTTGCTCGTGGCGTCGAGATCTGGGCTCGTGGTTCGGCGGGTGCGTTTTGTGCTCGGATGGTTGCAGGCGGCGTTTCCAGGTATGAGACGTGAGGGGCTGTCTCCGTGCCATTGTGTTTTGTGAGGCAGGATTGCAGATCGCTCTGGAATGCTGTAGCAGCAATGTTTGGAGCTAGATCGGCGATGCTCTAATTCACGGCATCTGGAGTGTCTGGCGTCGATACTGGGGCGGCTCCTGGTTCGGCGGGTGCGGATGGGTGCGTTGGCGCTCCACGCAATGTTAGCGGCATTTGAGGGTATGAGACGTGAGGTGGCTTTCAGCGTGCCATTGTGTTTTGTCAGGGAGCGTTCCGAATCGCTGTGGAATGGTGGTGCGGTAGTTGTTGGGAGCTAGTTCGGCGAAGCAGTATATATAGTGACGCCACGACATGGTGTAATTTACGGCATCTGGCGCCTCTGGCATCGAGACTGGAGACTGGGGCGGCTCGTGGTTTGGGTGCGGATTGGTGTGTTGTGCGCTCGGATCGTTCCCGCATTGTTGGCGGCGTTTGAAGGCATGAGACGTGATTATGTTTTGTGAGGTAGGTTTGCAGATGGCCACCAGGATGCTGTTGCATTATTTTGCAGCAGCTGTTGGAGCTAGCTCGGCAGTACCACGACATGCTGTGCTCTACGGCACCTGGCTCGTTTGGCGTCGAGATCTGGGCGGCTCGTGGTTCGGCGGGTGCGGATGAGTGTGCGTTTTGTGCTCGGATGGTTCCCGCACTGCTGGCGGCGTTTCCAGGTATGAGACGTGAGGGGCTGTCTCCGTGCCATTGTGTTTTGTGAGGCAGGATTGCAGATCGCTCTGGAATGCTGTAGCAACAGTGTTTGGAGCTAGCTCGGCGAAGCGGTAGTGACGCCACGAAATGCTCTAATTTACGGCATCTGGAGTGTCTGGCGTCGATGCTGGGGCGGCTTCTGGTTCGGCGGGTGCGGATGGGCGCGGTTGCGGTTGCAGCAAGAGGTGGCTGTCAGCGTGCCATTGTGTTTTGTCAGGGACCGTTCCGGATCGCCGTGGAATGATGGTGGTGCAGTTGTTGATAGGAGATGATTCAAAAAGATCGAAAATTGAAGGACCGGATAACCCCACATGTCAACTTCTTCCAACAGGTTACAAAAGAGAGGCAAAGTCGAAGAAAAGGTTAGGGAGATACGAGATGGTGATAGAGTTGGGAAATGTGTGTCTCTGTGTGTGTGTGAATCATCTGAATAGAGGTAAAACCCCTACCTGTTTTGAAACCAAACTTTCAAACTTTTCAATTCAATTCCTTTATTTCAATTTCTCGCAGGGGGCAGGAGCGTCATGGTAAGTCTCCTGCCAACGAAGACACTTACCATCGACGGTGATACCAGACTTGGCCAGTCTGGCGTACCTGCACTGTTGTGATCACCTGTTGTTCAGGGTCTGCTTTTATTGAACTTCTTTGCAATCATTGCATGTGAATGGCATCCGGCCAAGCCAAGAACCGGCAAGTCGGTTTTCATTGATGCGCTTCAGTCCAACATTCAGGACTCAGTGCTGCAACCATGGCTTTTCTACACAGGTGACCTGTTTTGATTTGCATGCGGAATACATTCCACTTCAACCATTCGAAAAGCTGTTCTGAGCAAGTGTGTGGCTCATGTCGGTTCGACAAGATGACATGAGCCCTTCGGGGAATACCTTTCTAGGTAGAACTTCCGACGTTCGACTTGATCTCTGAATTCACACATTTTAACCTAGTCATTCGTTTAAGTAAAGTGAAACTCAGTGAAACAGCCGGCCATTTTTCCTTTTCACCCTGTCGTTGTCGAGTTTTGAACAACGTGCCGCTGTGCCTGGCATCATCACCTTCTCTTGTCGGTCGAAGTGTTCAACAACGTGCCGCTGTGCCTGGCATCATCACCTTCTCTTGTCGGTCGAAGTGTTCAACAACGTGCCGCTGTGCCTGGCATCACCTTTCCGTTTCCCCTTCAAGGGTTTTCTGGAGTCCTGCATAGCCTGAAGCCGCGACAACAATTTCTTTTCAACATTGCTCGAGAGACAGATCACTGTTCTGCGCTGTACATGACCAGGTTTCAGGACATGCCTTAGCTGTACATGGTACCACTTCTTTTTTGGTTTGGTGAGGTATCCAAAATCGGTTTTGAACTGTTGAACCTTTTTCACCTGTCTCGCCATGTTCCCGTTCTGGAACTTTCGCTCATGGAAAGTTCCTCAAGGGCAATTCGATTCGTCGATGTGGAGCTCAATGGCAAGTTCTGGTCCTCAACATCCTAGCATGGGTGGTTTTGCCAGTGGGTGTGATCCTTCGTTCAACGCTTCACAACAGCAACAGGCTCAGTCCCAAGCTCAGATTGAACTTCTAAGGCAACAGAACTTGCTTCTCAATCAGCAACTTGCCACTCAAGCTCAGTCACATATTCAGCATCTCCAACACATCCACAGACTGCTCATCCACAGCCTGCTCCCTTCGTGCCTTCGTCCAACACTCCACATCCACCTCAGCCATCGCCATCTCAACCACCATCGTCAACCTCTCCCACTGCACCGTCGGCAACTGCACCACCATCTACATCCACAGCCACACCATCTCCACCCACTGATGAACTCCTGAAGAAGATGAGCGCTGAACTCAAAGAGGACATCGCTTCCTCACTCCCTGACTTTCATGAACAACAACGTCAAGATGCTGACCTTCGAGAACTGAACCTTCTCATCCACCACCCCCAACTCCTCAGGCAACAGTCCATCCACAGGCAACTGTGTATCCACCTCCACCTCTTCCTCCACCTTCAGTGCCTGGAACTCCAGCACCAGGCCCATTCTCTGTTCCACTTCCACATCCAGGCACATTCCAACACCCATGATGCCATGCGTTCAAGGCTCTGGAAGCTCTCCACTGCTTCCCCACCTTCATCTCTCCTTCCAGGCCACGCCGTCGATCTCCTTCCAGACCTCGTCGACCTTCCGATCATGTTCGGTCCTGTTCAAAACGTCCTGACAAGCTATTTCCATTCCTCGGAGTCCCAGAGTTCAACGTCATCGGAACTCTCGCTCCCGCCATACTCGATCCAAGTCTCGCTCTAGTTCCGCTCACCGCCATGCTTCGTCGTCACGGTTCCGGCTTCGACCCCGTCCAAGGCACCATTCTTCACCCTCTCGCGGGAAACAGGAGCAATCTTGGTGTCATGAAGTACCTTCAAAGCAAGCACAATCTTGGCGTCCTGCAGTCCCTTCTGAACAGGACCCTCAGCCATATCCTGGCAAAATCCGTCTGCAGGCTGCCCCATCCAATAAGCCCTTGACAGCCTTTTCCATGGAACACCGCACTTCGTCCAAGACGGTCTATGCTCGTTCCAAGAAACCTCCTCCATCTCATCACTCCAAGCACAACAAGTCCACTCATCGTCATCACCACGCTGCCCGACATTCTACACGTGACGGAGATGAACTCTTGGAGGACGAGGTCTGTTTGGACAGTATCACTTGTGATGACGACCACAGGTCTCAGTGTGTCAAGTGGGCACGAAATCATCCACAACGGGTGAAAGCAGCCAACGAACTCCCTGAAGCCGATCGACCCAGACCTTGCACGAAGATCAACAAGACGGCTTTGAAACACTTCTCGGATATGCTTCGCTCCAAGTGCCCAGGTATCTTCGGAGGAGCAGATTTGCTCAACGCTTTGGTTGAAGCTGACATACGCACAACCAGTCTTCCTGAAACCAAACTCACTGCTCTTATCATCCCAGTTCCGGGCCTGGAATGGTTCAACCCGAAGCCTCCGTTTGGAAACGTCACAACCTACACCTGGGGTTTGGTGCATGGCACCACGGTCACCGGTGCTACTGCAATCTTGATTGAGGGTCTCATCAGACCAGCGGATTGGGAACATGATGACGATCCCAAAAAGTCCCAGCTTCCAACTTTTGGCCTCTTCAGCGCGGGCCAACAAGTCAGCCGAGGAGACACCGAACTTCCTCGATGGGCAGAGATTGTGCTGTTGGACAGGGCGTCGAAACGAGGAAAAGGTCAACAACCGATCCTGGTTGGTGCTTTGTATCGTGGCGCCAAACAACACGTGGCGATGAAGGCTGGAGGCAATGATGCAGTACAAATCAAAGTGGCTAAGCTCGGTGTGGCCACGACGAGTGAGAAGTACGTTGTTGCCCATTCGGCCCACACCCAAGTCACAGGTTCGTTGCGGTGACCTGGGAAGAACTCCCTCCACTTGAAAGCATCGATGCTGACGACGACGACTCCGACAACGTCAACTATCGTCAGTCTCGAAAAAACTGGAGGGCCCCCACTGAACCCATTGAGAGTGACTGAACTTCACAGTTTTACGCGACAGCGGCTGGCTTTTCTTTCTAGGATCACCTGGACACGCATCAGAGTAAAACTGCTCTGTTCAGCCGTTTATGTCGTTGCTCCTGCACGGTTGTCACAATCTGATTGCACTCCAACTTCCATTTGATTATATGGGTAATTTTTGTGGCTTGTTTCTCTTGTCTTTTCTTGTTTTGTGATGGGTTGCTATTGTTGCTTTGGATGAGTGCCTGTTGTTGCATTCTTTCCCTGCCTCTTTGATCATTACATTGATTCCTTCTGATTGGTTTCAGCTGCAATTTGTGAGATAGCCCCAGTGATCACCTGTTTTCTGCACCATGTCGCACTCGGATCGTTCGCGCTCACCAACATTGCGACGATCGGGCTCTGCGCTTTCTCATGCGGACCTTCCAGGTTTTCCTCGTTGGCGTGGACCTATGGGATCAGCTGTCCGGGCCTCACAGACAATGTCCAATCCTCAGTCAAGTCGCCCGTGGCCAGATTGCTTGAGTCAATCGAAGTCGGGACCTTATCAGACCGCTCAGCCTCAGATGCATGTTCGTCCCATGTTGCACCCCACCATGCCTCAATCTCATCCTTTTCCACTGTTCCGTCCACCCATCACTCCACCGTCTTCTCAAATCCCATCCAGCATTCCGGCATCTCAGCCGTCGCATTGCAGTCCGACCCAGCCATGTCCACCAACTCCGCCTCACAACATCAGTCCCTCCCGTACTCCAACGGGATCTCCAGCGGGCTCCGTCCTGGGCTCTCACAGCACACCCCAGTCGTCTACCGATGCCCGCATCTATGGCTTCGATCTCAACGAGACTGGCAACCTGACAAAGACTAGTACGACAACCAGAAGATCAATGGACTCACCCTTCCACGCACCATCAGGTCGTCGGCTTTCACTCAGAAGCTGGACATCCAAGGATGCGACCTGTTATCACTTCCACTGGCTGCGTTGCTCTATCAACAAGCCAACAACCATTGGATTCGGAAGTTGGCGTCAGGCAGAGAGATGTACTTGTTTGATCCCTACTGGAGACATCGCATCCGTGGTGTTCATGACGGAACTCCTCAAGCAGTTCCTGACCAGGGGACCTTGACAAGGTGGCGATGACAAAAGCGAGACAAGATGGGAAACTCATGGATAAGACGTCCAACACCAAGCACATCGCCCAGGTCATGACGCCTGCTGGTCCATCCACTCCTGTGCCTCCCATCAAACGGTCTCTGCAAGGGGCCAACCCTCCACCTGCCCCACCTGCATTTGAACCACAATGTCTCCTCACCATTCCAGGAAATTCCAACTCCTGGTTGACCACTCATCTCCCAGGCTCTCTGCGCCAAGGCACGGTCACCGCTTGGATCAACAAATTCAATCTTCCTCCAGCGCAGAAGAACACCGTCCAGACCAACCTGGAGAAAGCCGAAACATGGTGGTCCCAACAACCGGCCAGCGCTGTCGACACCATCCAGAAGGTGGCAATCATGATGGGCATTCCCCTCAACCTTCTTCAGAAGAACTTCGACGCCACTCGACTGATCCGAGTCCTCACTCTGGCCATCTCGATGACCAATTGACTAGCTCCCACTCTGCGTCGGAAGCTAAAGCACAAAGTCCTTCAACAACACCTTCATTTGCTTCATTCGATGATTCTCGTTCTGTCTTTGCTCACTCCGTTTATACCATGTCAGACAGCCTCTCTGTGTTCTTCAGCTTTCGCATTGCCCAGACTCGGTTAATGCTCTTGTCCATCATTCATGGTCTAAATCCCAATTGCAAACTGAAGGCGATTTTGGAAGGATGTGCCAATCTCAACCATTTATGGGGCTCTACGCTGGAGTCACACCAGCTTTTCTCCCAGGACTTCTTCCTGCCCAACTGTGTGTACTTGCGGTTCACACACATCAACAATTTTCAACCCAAATTCTACATTGGGTCAGCTTTCCATCATGTATGAGTACAGTCGCACTCGGAAATACTTCCAACTCACCCACGATCGGCTCGTGCAGGCAGAGTTAGCCCTTCGATTTTGGCGAGAACACCAAAACCTTTTTGTGTGGGCTCCAATCCCTCTTTTTGCATGCCGTTTGCGCTTTCGCTGTCTCGAACTTGCTCTCATCCAAGAATGGCAACCGAGGTTGAACTACCCATTCATTTGCCAATTTTTTCACCCGAAGAAGGGTCTTTTGAAACGACCTGCGATGAACAATGCACAGTTTGGGTTGGCTACACTTTGGCGTCGTGCTCGCCATCCCTTCGCTCCCAAGGTGATCAAAGACATCCTGGCTTCAGACCGTTTCCAACATCGCCTCCAACTCTGGCACATGATCCATGACCTGGGCTCCAACACCAAAGCCAGTTTCGAGACAACCAAAATGCTTCGATCCAATGATGGGGGTCTCCCCTTGTGCTATGCTCTTCGTCGCCTTGCAGCCAACATCCAAGAACCATACCGCACTCTTGCACTCCAGGCCATTGACAACACCATCACTTGGTGGAAAGGAAAACCAGCTCCACGTGCATCCGCTCTTTGGGCACCTTGGGCTCTCAGTCCCAACTTGGCAAAATCCCTACAGGATTTTCTTCGTCGGTGGTACCTCCGCATGTTGGAACACCATGTTCCTTGTCACGTCCCATCCTTCAAGAAAGTCTTCATCAAGCACGCGTCGGTGGTGGACATCTTGTGCAATCACAAGTCAGCCATTGAGGCCTGGTCCCTCAATACCACACCGACGTGCTGCTGTCAAGGCTGGCACAAGTTCCGATCCGCTGCATTAAACCCAGATTCTGACCACTGGGTCTTGTCGGGTTCTCTTCTTACTGATCTTCTTCCACCCGACGTTGCTGTTCTTGCTGAAGGGTCCCTTCAAAACAAGGTTTTCCCTCAAAAACGCGAGTTCCTCCGCATCCTCCATCGTGGCATCCTCAACGGGTGCAAATTCAACGGCCTCCCTTCCATTCCGAAGCACCATGTCCAAGACCTATAACCTATGGTCCACACACACACCTCACATATCACCAACCACATCACCCGCTCCTCCATTCAACACCTTGAACAATTGTTCCCAGGGGCGGTCTTCCACTGTGAGGACAAACACGCCTCATCTCTGCGAATCTTCTGCCCTTGCCTCTATAGCAAGGCCATTGAACGCACCTTTCTGGATCCTGATGTCTTTGGCCAGATACATGACACTCCTGATGTCATCACGTCGGCACTGGTTGCCAAGTTGTCCCGTCAATACCACAAGTCCTATCCATGGGCTGTGGGAAAGGGCCGCCAATTGCCATCCGGCTACATTCTTGCCAAGAAGAAGAAGAACTACGAGCGTGGTCGACCCATCATCTCCTTTGTGGATGCACCCTTCCGCCCCATGCTCAACATCTTGGCTCGGCTGCTCTTCCAACTGATTCCGGTTGCCTTCCCCGACCACTTTGCAACGGGTGATGTCTACCACCTCCTGTCCGTCCTTCGACAGGCTCCAGAACATGGCCATCTCCAGTTGTACAACCAGGACCTCGCTGGATTCTTCACCAGCATCGACCAACAACGGTTCCTTGGCGCATGGTACATGCTTCTGGACTTTCTTCGACCTCACATGGATGTCAGCGAAAATGAAGTCTTCTCTGTCTATCCTGGTCGCTTCAACAATCCAGGCGACCTGATCAAGGGACGTACATTCCGTCGTCTCAATGTCACACGTAAAATTCTCATCAAGGACATTCCGTCCTTGATTACAACGGCACTGGAGATGCAAACCTTTTGCTTGGGCCATCGATGTGTCACACAACTTCGTGGCAGCCCAATGGGCAGCCCTCTCTCGCCAGCTTTGTGCCTCATGGTCGTGTCAATCAGCGAACAAATCTGGTCAATCAACTTCAAGTCCATCCTCAAAAACCACCATCTTTTCATTCGACACATCCGCTACGTTGACAATCGTCTCATCTTGGGCGACGCCCGTCTTCGGGACCTGCCACCATATGAAGTCCTCCTTGACGAAGGCTTCTATGGAAAACCAATTGTACTCGAGACTGAACCGGACCAAGAATTTCTCGGTTTCATGCTTGAAACCAATCCCTTCGAACTCATCTATTTTGGTCCCACCAATGTCTCCCAAGTTTTGTCGCCTTTCTCAGCATCACCTCCGAAAGTGCTCCTGGGCGGGTTCCGCTCTTGCTGTCACATTGTCACAAATGGCGCTTTCCCAATTCATCGTGTTCATCAAGGCCTGGAACAATTAATTTTACTGCCTAGCTGGCTTCGACCGGGATGACCTCAATCGCATCTCATCCCAAATCTTGAACTCCCAGATCGACTCTTGAGTGGAAAAATGCGACCAGATTCGCTTGTCATTCTTCTGCTCTCGTCATGTTTTTCTTGGTTTTGTTGCCTTTTTTGTTTGTTGATGTAAAATTTCCTCAGCTTTTTGCCCCAATTTGAGTCCGACGCACCCTGTCCGCGTTTGTCGTGCTCGCTAGCCATGGACCCGTCGCAGCAACAGATGCACCACCGTCTCGCTCGCGCTTTGATGCATCTCAACCAGCTGGCCGCATTCTTGCCTTTCTTCCACAGTACACCGGATTGGGATTCTAACCCACCACCGTTCTCAAGTCACCATGGCCAGGCATCCTCTCGTCATCTTCATACCTTTGTACCACTTCCCACGGGATCTGCGTCCTCCACATCCCTGGCTTCTCATGGCAGCATCCCATCCCACTACGTTCTCAAGCCTGAACCTCATCTACGTGCCATTTCTTATCGTCCCATTTCTCATCCTGAATCTACCCTTCCAACCTCACTTCCATCCATTCCACTCCGAGGACCAGAAGGACATCACGATGATGACATGCCAGCTCCTACCAATCCTCCACCTCCACGTCCTAAGCAAGCATGCTGTGCTGTTCCACTGCACCCAGATCTCTGTCCACTCCTCACACTCCGTCCGTTCCCGACCATACTCATTCAGACATTCGGTCTACCAAACGCCCACGAACTGCCTCCATGGTTGAGTCTGTCAACCGCTATGGTGTCCTTCCAGAAGAACCGGCTCCCGCTCCTCCACGCCCTGCGGCGATCCCTGATCCTGAACCTGAAGCGGATCTTGCCATCATCCACCATCACCATGTGGATTCTGACTCCGAGGAGCCCAACCATCATGCTGCCAAAGCCTCACCTCCGACACCAACCAATCCAGTTCGCTCTTGCCCTGCTCCATCCATTCCCGGTGCCCCTGCGAACCTTGATCCTGCCATTGTGGATCATCGCAATCGTCCGTGGCCACCTTGTGACGATCGGGAACTTGCCCAGTACAAAATGGATACGAAGTCTCGTCCTTCGTGGAAGACCATCGCTAAGAGGATGAATCGCACCGTTGAAAGCTGTCAAGCCAGATGGCAGTGGCTGAAGAACACGCACCCGGAACTTTTGCATCCGGGCACTGCCACCGAAGCCGGTGATGATGGTGACTGAGAGTTTTCACCTCCTCGCATTAGGTTTTTGCAGCTGACTTCGTCCATGTCAGCTTGAAAACAACACACTCAGCTTCCGAGGTTTCCGATTTCTGGTTGTGAGTTTAATTTTCTCCATTGGGACTGGTTTCCTCTTCCATTGTCTTGCTGAATTTGGGTTTACCGGCATGATCATTAATTTTCTCTTCTTTTGAATGGCTCAGAGCTTGATTCAATTTGATCATATGCGCCCATTGTTATCCCTCGCCCCACGTCGAGATGCGTCTCGCAGTCGCTCTCCACTCCATGGGCCAGATCCACACAATCCACCTTTGACTCTTGGCACCATCGAATCTCATGAGTACTTTACTCGTTGGCGACCAGTACTTCTGATGGCGCAATTTCATGAACTTTGTCTTGTTGAAGAAGGTCGCTTTCATGGTTCATTTATGATGACTTGCCGTGAAACGTCTGTCCCAGGTTTGCAACGTCGTGAAGAACAGGCCATCTTCACGTATACCAAATTCTTGGATCGTCATCAACTGAACTTCCCGTTCAGTGGACTGGAGACAGAACTTCTCTTTCAGATTGAGCAGACATGGGGCTTCATCCTTTCCCCAGATGACATCAAATTGACTTTTCCTGATCGCAACGGTCGCAATATCCTGCTCCCGCCGGAAATGTTTGTTTGTGAATTTCTGGACATACAGCGTTTTAATTGGCACCGTGAACAAGATCTTGGTTCTCACTTCCTTCCTCGAGCCTTCACCGCTCGAAATCAGCCTTACGTTTTTCGTATTGACTGTCGATCCAATGAACCGGATCCATCAATTGACAACCCGTGAAGTGTGAGCAGCAAAAGCGCCTCTTAGCCGCCAACAGTTGATTGATGCCATGTTTGTTTTTTCGTCCTTCTCCTTCTCTTAACTTTCTTTAAAGTTTTGGTCAGCTGGCTCAATCTTGCTCCGATAGCTTAGCCCTGATATGTTCAATAACCTCACCATCGCTGAATGGCTTGGACCTACGCGTCATCCCCCTCGCAGCCTCATCCGGCCCATCCTGGTTCTTATTGATCTACGGGGCCTTCGTCCTTTTGTACTACATCATTTTCAGACGGAAGCTATGGAATCTTCCACTCGTGACCGTGTTCCATAGTTCTTCTTCGTGATCGATGAGACCTGCTTCTTCACATATGCCCAATATGTGGAACCGTTCACTTCCTCTGCTGTCACCATCAATGACCTCCGCCATGCGTTGGTCCATTGGATCCTTCAAACTTGGGGCATTCATTGTCGCTCCAACATGCTCCACATCCAGATCACAGATCGACATGGCCAACACCACACCCTCAATGGTGAACATTCCCTCTTCCAGGTCCTAGGCGCCTACCATCCATTGTGGTTTCGTGGAGGTGATCAACATGGTTATGTTTCTCAACCTGTCTCAGCTTTTTGTCCTTATGTTTTACGCCTCACCTGCACAGGCGTTACAATTGACACCTAAGACTTTCCTGGATCTGGGTCTAAAATGATGCTTCCTTCACCATGTTCATTGCTTTGCTCAATTTGCGTAGGTTTACATTTGAGCCATGTTGCTTGGTTTTGTTCTCATGTCCATTTATATTTCTGCAGCCTCACCATGACCAAAAGGGACTCAAACCTTGCGGGCTTGCCCTTCCTTCGATGTCGAGATGCCCATGGTTGTCGCAAACAGCTACACAACCACCCATCCTTCATCACACACTTCATCGTCTCATCCACAGGCTACTTCCTCCCATGCTGGCCCAACCAACCTTCAGGACAACTCTCGTCCTCTTCAACTCCCACATACACTTCAACCAGGTGAATACCGACAACGAATTGGTCATACCACGGTCTTCAAGATTGTTCAAGAAGCACATACCAGCTATGTCACCGTGGAGGAGACTGATTCAGAGGGGTACATGAAGCGCAAGCCTTTGGAGAAGTACTTCTTCGGGATCATCGGACACCTTCGTGACCGACATGGCCAACGCTTGGAGTCATGGACTCTCTGTTCCCAATTGGCGAACTACTGGAGAACTTGGTTCAATGTGCCCACCCAAGGTGCCACGTTCGAGCCCTATGAAGAAACTCCAACACCAGAGACGCCTGAACACCCACCAGCTCTGGGTCAGGACATCACACCTGATGACACTCAATCTTCTCAGATCCCTGTCCAGATCCTTCAGGTGGCATGGTTTTTGAGTGCTTTACTCAGCGAACACCCAGAAGCCAATGCGGGGCTCACCCAGCAAATTCAGCAACGGCCAATTGGACAACTTCGAGATCTGCACAACGACCGAGTTGATCATGCATCCTTAGCAACCTTGTGCGCCGAGTTGGGTATCTTGGCCAGCATGCTGTCCCAGCAGCAAGCCGCCAGCCAAGAAATTGCAGAACTTTCCCATGAAGACGATGGCATCTAACTTTTGACCTCGCTCCAGGTCCTGCAGCTCTGGCCTTTTGATTCCTTGTGAAATCCACAGGCATCCGTGACCAGTTGCATCTTCCGAAAAAGCCCCGCTGCTGCGGGGCGTGTGTGTGAAACATCTGAATAGAGGTAAAACCCCTACCTGTTTTGAAACCAAACTTTCAAACTTTTCAATTCAATTCCTTTATTTCAATTTCTCGCAGGGGGCAGGAGCGTCATGGTAAGTCTCCTGCCAACGAAGACACTTACCATCGACGGTGATACCAGACTTGGCCAGTCTGGCGTACCTGCACTGTTGTGATCACCTGTTGTTCAGGGTCTGCTTTTATTGAACTTCTTTGCAATCATTGCATGTGAATGGCATCCGGCCAAGCCAAGAACCGGCAAGTCGGTTTTCATTGATGCGCTTCAGTCCAACATTCAGGACTCAGTGCTGCAACCATGGCTTTTCTACACAGGTGACCTGTTTTGATTTGCATGCGGAATACATTCCACTTCAACAAGTCGAAAAGCTGTTCTGAGCAAGTGTGTGTGTGCGCGTGTCTGTGTCTGTGTTTGGTCTCTGTGTGTATGTGGGTGTCTGTTTGCGTGTGGTGTGTGGCCACGCACAAAGCATGCAGTCGCGCAGCAAACACTTTCACATTCTGCAGGGAAAAGCAAACTGCATTGTAAACACACATCTCTGGCAGGCAACAGTACACCTCCGCGTCTGATAGCAGATGGTGACAGCATCGACACCAGGACCTGCCAAGAAAAAGACTGTGATATACAGTTACGTCTGCTTGTTGACAACTTCTACTGGCGCAGAGCTGAAAAGAATGAATGTGCTAAAAGGCAGCAGATGAGCTGCAGTGCAAACACACAACTCCGACAGCGAACCGCACACCTCCGCGTCTGATGTGGTGACAGCATCGGCGGGAAGCCTGCCAAGCAGCATGTGCGCGAGAAAATTAGAATCATATTATGCAACTGTGTCTACCTTGTTCAGACACTTTCCGTTAGTGCACTCACGATTGACAACACTGAATGTGTTGAAGTGACGGTTTGCAGACATCTGCTGCTGCACACGGTGCCTCCGATGAAGCATGGCACGCGCTGCCGAAAGACAAGCGAACCCTAAACTCGTTCTGATTGACGATTTCTGCTGGGGCTACAATTTTGCGCAAGAAAACCAGAAGCCTTGCCGCTGTTTAGTCTAGACATAGAACTTTTTTTTCTGGTGTCTCACCTGCACGTCTGGACACGTGGGTTCCTCGATCCTGGACACGTCTGGGCCCGTGCAAAGTGGTCCAACTTTGGATCTCACGACTGGAGCAGCAGCCATTCCAGTGCTTTTTCCAACCCAAGATCAGCTCAAGAGAAACTCTGGCTCAAATGGTTCAAGTTTTTGGCTTCCGAAGCTATCAAAAAAAAAGGGGAAGGATTCTAATGCAGTTGGCTCAAGACCAGTGTGGGGCAAAGTACCCTTACTGGGGCGATGAGAAAAAGATGAGCAAGATGGGGTTGGTAACTAGATGGCTCAAGACCAATCTCAGCAAAGCTACCGAACTGGTGACGTGGGGCAAAAAAAGGATGTAGCAAGGGAATGGTTGGGAAGGGATGGTTGGGATCTGGATGGATGCAGCAAGGGGTAACAAGATAAAATGATATATCCTTGGGGGTAAGGTTGATTTAGTAATTCTACATGGCATGGCATGGCCAGCAGGAGAGGTGGTCTGACCCCTCTCGCTGACTGGATTGTTTTATTGTTGCTCGAACGTTTCATTTTTTCAACAAATAAAACAATCAAACCATGTGAAACAAAACACGGTCAACAAATGAACCATGTTTTTGTTTGATTTTTTGCACGGCAAGGGGAGGTGGTCTGACCCCTCACTACCTGGATGTGTTTTTTTTGGATTCCACCCGGCTGGGCGATCAAAGCAATGAAGCCAAGTTGGAAACAGTCTAGACCTGGCTGGTTCCTCCCAGTGACCTCATCGTCCGGACGCGTGTGTCCTTTCTACTTTGGATCTCACGGTCGGAGCAGCAGCCATTACAATGCGTTTCCAACCCAAGATTTCAGAAAAAGAATTGGCTTAAGAAAAGCATTGGAAATTGGCTCAAACCTTTGGCTTCTGCTTCCAAAGCTGGAAGAACTGGGAGGAACACAAAATCTAATGTAGCTGGCTCAATACCAATGTGTGCAAAACTGCCCGCACTGGTGCGGTGAGAAAACGATGGGCAGGATGGGATTGGCAAATTAGATGGCTCAAGAAAAATTTGGCAAAGCTACCATGCAAGGGCGAGGAAGGGATGATTGGAAAGGGGTGGTCGGTAAGGGATGATCTGCAAGGCATGGTCGGGATCTGGATGGATGCAACAGGGGGGTTGCATGATAGCATGATATGCCCTTGCAGTATTGCTTAGTTTCGAAAGATCACAGCTATTCAAGATAGCATGGCACGGCCAGGGTAGTTTGACCCCCCTCGCGAACTGGATTGTTTGAATCTAATCTTTATTTGTTCAAACCATGCGAAACAAAAATCTACAAGACAAATTGTTTTTGCATATGGCTTTGTGTGGCCCGGCCAGGGGAGGTGGTCTGACCCCTCTCACTGACAGGATTGGTTGCTTTGTTTTTTCCGCGGCTAAATCTGCCGAACCCTCCCATTCAAAAGCAATACATGTTTCCACGCGCGGCCAGCAAAGGAGGCGGTCTGACCCTTCGAACTGCTTAGGTTTTGGGTTTTTATCTGTGTTTTTTTCCCCGAGAGCGTTTGAGCGAAGGACTTTTCCAAAAAAGGGGGTCTGTTATACATCGTCTTATCTTCACATCTTCTCATCCGAGTCTCTTATACATCTTCACATCTTCCCATCTTCTCATCTTCACATCTTCTCATCCTCGCATCTTCACATCTTCACATCTTCACGCCCTCACATCTTCACATCTTCACATCTCACCTTCACATCTTCACATCTTCACATCTTCTCATCCTCGCATCTTCACATCTTCACACCTTCACATCCTCATATCTTCACATCTCTTCATCTTCACATCTTCACATCTTCTCATCTTCTCATCTTCACTTTCTTCACTTTCCTCACATCTTCACAGCTTCACAGCTTCTCATCTTCTCATCTTCTCATCTGCACCTCACATCTTCACATCTTCACATCTTAACATCTTCTCTCTCTCTCTCTCTCTTGCCTTCTTGCCCTCTTGCCCTCTTGCTCTCTCTCTCTCTCTCTCTTGCCTTCTTGCCATCTCTCTCTCTCTCTCTCTCTTGCCTTCTTGCCCTCTTGCCCTCTTGCCTCCCTTGCCTTCTTGATCTTTCTCTTTCTTGCTCTCTTGCCCTCTTGCCCTCTTCTCTCCTTCTTTTTCTACCAGCGGGGGGCGGGGCCAACGAGGCGCCACGAAATGCAACCCTTTCGCACGAAATGAGGTTCGATATCAAAAATAAAGGAAAATTGCGATTTTGACAGGCTGCGCAAGTGTCTGTGAGTAAAGGAGCATGTGTGTAAAAATGTCTGTGTGTAAAAGTGCGTGTGTGTAAAGCGTTTGTATGTAATAGCGTCTGTGTGTAAAAGCGTCTGTGTGTAAAAGCGTCTGTGTGTACAAGCATCTGTGTGTAAAAACGTCTGAGTCTTTACGAAAAAGCGTCGAATGCCAAACTCAATATCAGGGGCCTTTGTATAAAGGCGTCTGTGTGTAAAAGCGCCTGTGTGTAAAAGTGCGCGTGTGTAAAAGAGCATCTGTGTGTAAAGGCGTCTGTGTGTAAAAGAGCCTCTGTGTGCAAAGTGTGTTCCTGTGTAAAAGCGTCTGTGTGTAAAAATGTCTGTGTGTAAAAGCAACTGTGTGTAAAAAAAATCTGTGTGAAAAAGCGTCTGTGTGTAAAGAAGCCTTTGTGTAAAGGCGTCTGTGTGTAAAAGTGCGTGTCTGTAAGAGCGTTTGTATGTAATAGCGTCTGTGTGAAAAGCGCTGTGTGTAAAAGCGTCTCTGTGTAAAGGGGCCTTTGTATAAAGGCGTCTGGGTGTAGAAGAGCGTCTTTGTGTAAAGGCGTATGTGTGTAAAAGGGCGTCTGTGTGTAGAGTGTGTCTGTGTGTAAAAGTGTCTGTGTGTAAAAATGTTTGTGTGTAAAAGCAACTGTGTGTAGAAAACCATATGTGTGAAAAAGTGTCTGTGTGTATAGGGGCCTGTGTGTAAAGGCGTCTGTGTGTAAAAGTCTTTGTGCGAAAAAGGGTCTGTGTGTAAAAGTGCCTGTGTGTAAAGGTATCGGTGTTTAAAGCGACTGTGTGCAAAAACATCTGTGTGTAAAAGCGTCTGTGTGTAAAAGTGTCTGCGTGTAGATTAGTCCTGTGTGTAAAAGTGTCTGCGCGCAGAAGAGTAAAAGGGTCTGTGCGTAAAAGCGGCTGTGTGTAAAAGCGTCTGTGTGTAAAAGTGTCTGTGTGTAGAACCGTCTTTGTGTGAAAGGGTCTTTGTGTAAAAGCGTCTCTGTGTAAAGGGGCCTTTGTATAAAGGCGTCCGTGTGTAAAAACGTCTGTTTGTAAAAGCGTCTGTGTGTAAAAATATCTGTGTGTAAAAGCGTCTGTGTGTAAAGGGGCCTTTGTGTAAAGGCGTCTGTGTGTAAAAGAGCGTCTGTGTGTAAAGTGTGTTCCTGTGTAAAAGCATCTGTGTGAAAAAGCGTCTGTGTGTCAAGGAGCCTGTGTGTACAGGCGTCTGTGTGCAAAAGTGTCTGTGTGTAAAAACGCTTGCTTGCGTGTTAAAGCATCTGTGTGTAAAAGCGTTTGTTTGCAAAAACGTCTGTGTGTAAAAGCGTCTGTGTGTAAAAGTGTCAGTGCGTGTAAAAGGGTCTTTGTTGAAAAACATCTGTGTAAAAGCGTCTCTGTGTCAAGGAGCCCGTGTGTTAAGTGTAATAGCACCAGTTAGTGTTGTGTGTGCAATGTCTGTGTGTAAAAGCGCCTGTGTGTTAAGGAGCCTGTGTGTAAAAGGGTTTGTGTGGAAAAGGGTCCGTGTAAAGGCACGTGTGAGCGAAGGCATCTGTGTGTAAAGGCATCTGTGTGTAAAAACATCTGTGAGTAAAGGGGATTGTGTGTAAAAAAAGGCTGCGCGTAAAGGAGCGTAAAGGCATCTGTGTGTAAAAGCGTCTGTGTGTAAAAACTTCTGCTCTCTTGCTATAACCCTGTCTGCTTCATACACTTTCTGTCTTTCAATTTTTATCTTCTTGCTGTCGTTCTGTATCAGTACAAATGTTTAAAATGCTTGTCGTCAGCTTTCATCTTAATATCGCTATATCCGACAATCATTGCGCTTGGTTCTTCTTCCACCACATACTTCTTACATACTCATTACATTGTGGTTTTACATACACCTGAGTAATTTGCTCCTCTAGGCTCTCGGGCCATCCGCCGTCTAGTTTTTGAAGCCACTATCGTCGGATTTTTTGCTGCTACTGTTGCTGGCGGCAATTCTTTCGATACCAGTAAATTCAGATATTTTGGTGTTAGTTTTGTCCAAGGCAGTTTTTTCATGCCACTATCTTCGGATTTGTTTGGCCTTCAGTTTGTCTCGGGCGGTTTTTCGATGCCATTATCTTCGGATTTTTGGTGTGAATTTTTGTTCAAAACATTTTTTTGGATGCCACTATCTGTCGGTTGCTTGGTCTTAATTTTGCCCAAAACATTTAGTTTGCTGTCCCTATCTTTGATTTGTGCGGTGTCAATTTAATCTTGTCCCAGGCAGTGTTTTTCATGCCGCTATCTTCAAATTTAATGCTTTGGTTCTGATTTTTTTCAAAGCAGTTAGTTCTTTTGATGCCACTATCTTCGGACTGTTTGGGCTTAAATTTGTCCATGAACAGTTTTTTTGGATGCCACTATCGGATTTTGTGGTGTCAAATTTGTTCAAAGCAGTTTTTTTGATGCTACTATCGTCGGATTTTTGGTGACAATTTGGTCCAAGATTGCGCTTTCGATATCAGCATATTTGGATTTTTTGGTGCTCAATTTGTTCATGAACATTTTTTTGATGCAGCTGTCATCGGATTTTTTGGCGTCAGTTGTGTTCAATGCAATTTTCCTGGATGCCACTCACTTCGGATTTGTTGGTGTTAATTTTCGTTCAAGGCATCTTTTTGATGCCACTATCTTCGGATTTTGGGATGTCAATTTTGTTCAAGGCAGTGTTTTTGGATGCCAGTATCTTCGGGTTCTGTGGTGTCAGTTGTGTTCAATGCAATTTTCCTGGATGCCACTATCTTCGGATTTTTTAAGGTCAAGTTTGGTCAATGCATTTTTTTGATGCCACTATCTTCGGTTTTTTGGCGTCAGTTTTGTTCAGGGCAGTTTTTTTGCTGGATTGATCATCGGGTTTTTCAATTTTTCGGTGTTAGTTTTGTCCGGGGCATTTTTTTTTCGATGCCACTATCTTCGGATTTTGTGGTGTTCATTTTGTACAAGGCAGTTTTGTTGGTGCCACTATCTTCGGTTTTTTGGTGTTAACTTTGTCCAGGGCATGTCTTTTTTGATGCCACTATCTTCGGAAAAATTGGTATCATTTTTTGTTCAAGGCGCTTTTGTGATGCCACTATCTTTGGGTTTTTGGTGTTAAACGTGTCCATGAGCAGGTTTTTTTGATGCTACTATCTTCGGATTTTGTGGTGTTCATTTTGTACAAGGCAGTTTTGTTGGTGCCACTATCTTCGGTTTTTTGGTGTTAACTTTGTCCAGGGCATGTCTTTTTTGATGCCACTATCTTCGGAAAAATTGGTATCATTTTTTGTTCAAGGCGCTTTTGTGATGCCACTATCTTTGGGTTTTTGGTGTTAAACGTGTCCATGAGCAGGTTTTTTTGATGCTACTATCTTCGGATTTTGTGGTGTTCATTTTGTACAAGGCAGTTTTGTTGGTGCCACTATCTTCGGTTTTTTGGTGTTAACTTTGTCCAGGGCATGTCTTTTTTGATGCCACTAT